TGTTCCTATGATGCTGCTTGGCCTGCTGTGTTCATCCAGCCCTGCACGTTGTTGTCTCGACTCATTGAGAAAGCCAGGTTTTCAGTTGAATACTTTTTCCTCAGTGGCATAAGAGTCCTGGTTTCTCTTTCGTACAATAAATGCCACAAGCCACAATATATGAACATCTGGATCAACTAAATCCCCTAAGAAGTAAATGTGACCAAAAACTGGTTTGGAGGTATACACATCCTGCTGTTATGAAGTGAGTTTCTCACCAAATCAACATTCCTATTGTTTCTAATTTAATTTTAAGAATGTTTTATTAGATGTATAACTTTGTTTAATTGAATCAAGTTAAGAGCTTGACTGATTATCTTCAATTAGTTAGTGTAGCTAATAGCCCATTCAAAATTGTTCAGCAAGTGCTACTCAATCATAGAATCACATCAAATAAGAGATGTTTTGTGTTTTGCAAGCATGGGCTGATTGATTGTGGTCTGTACTCTTGCCTATTTTGAACCACAGAAAAAACATGCTGTTAGATTCACTAACCCGCTTCAGAAAAAAATTCTGTAGGCATGCAGGAATGGTAAACCCAAGAATAAATATTTTTTGGTGATTCTTGGACCTTTGAATTGCTCTGAAATATAAATGAGACATCTAAAAGAGACAACATATTGAATGATAAATCTAGTTTATAATGTAGAATAAACATATCTTCCAAACCCACGACCACTTCCATTTGAAGGACAAGGGCATCAGACATTATGGGAACACCACCACCTCCAAGTTCCCCTCCAAGTCACTCACCATCCTGACTTGGAAATATATCGCCGTTCCTTCACTGTTGCTGGGTCAAAATCCTGGAATTCCCCCCCTAATAGCATTGTGGGTCAACCCACAGCAGGAGGACTGAAGTGGTTCAAGAAGGCAGCTCACCGCCACCTTCTCAAGGGCAACTAGGGATGGGCAAGAAATGCTGGCCAGCTAGCAACGCCCACATCCCACAAATGAATAGAAAAAAAAATTCAAGTTCCTGGCTGCTGAGATGTGATTATAGGTTTTTGTAATACAGCTTTAGCTACATAATTTTAAGTAAATATTTATTTATAGTTAACTGGCAGTGGGAGTTGTGACCTGGTGGTTAATTTCTGCAGAGACGCATCTTCAATATTTTCTTTGATACCATTGACAGTGGATTACTGGTATTGTATAATAAATAAAGCCTCATTTACTGTGTACTAAATATATTTTAATATATTGTAATTAAAAGATTTTTTGGCAAGCATATATTACTCTCAGATTTGTTCCCATTTTTGAGCCATTTCATCTGATGTAATTGTATGTGCCACTAGAGAGCCTGTCTGCACTAATGAAGCTGCCTGAAACAGTTGCAAACTAGTAAATAAATAAATTTAAATTGATAGGATTTTTTTTATCCTCAAATCCGGTTCTAAAAGTAGAATAGACAATGGAGACTGGTGAATTATTAAGAATAGATAACTTGTGATTGACATAATTAGTTTTTAGCATGTGGCATTTCTGAACTATGAGATCACTTGATTTATTTTCCACAATCAGTGTTTCCCACTTTATATCCCCTATTGTAATAGGCATTTTGTTAGGGTAGATTATTAATTAACTGAAGTACGGAAAGTAAGAAATTTATTTTGTTAACAACACTGTAAAAGGGGAAATTTGTAGCACAGTGTATGAATGGATGGAAAGAAAAAGTCAGTTTGGCCCATTGATTTGTGTGTCTTTAGTAGAACAATCCAAAACTGACTTTTGTCTTCACTTACCTTGATTCGTCTGTATCAACTATTTACCTATCGTTTTCATAAAAGGTGCACTGGTCTGTTCTGTCCATTTCCTGTGATGAAACATTCCATCCTCCATTAACCTGCTGGGTAAAGATTTTTTTACTGATCTGTCTCTGTAGTGATTGTAACAAGGTCAGCCAAGTGGACCCGTAGAATATGAGTTCCCTGATTGGGGCTGTTAACCTGGTTCAATCAGGGAGCTCTGGCTGACAGATATGAACGGGCATGTCAGACATCCTAGGTAGACAAACAGAAGGCTGAAAGAACACAGCAGGCCAGGCAGCATCTGGAGGAAAGGAGCAGTCAACGCTTCAGGTATTACCATTCTTCCTGAAGATTAGAAGATTAAAATCAGTTGCACAATCTAGTGAGCACAACACTGATATGTCTCCATAGCTGATTGAGGAAGAAATGCCTGCAGGCTATAGACTGCCAGAGACTAGACACCCGTTCAGCCCAGGCTGAAGCAGTGCCCCTATTTTCAACCATAAATGACATGCTTAACTTGCACAGAGAGGCACAATCTCCTTCCCCACTGTCATCTCATTACCGGCAAGATCACAATGACTCCAGTGACTGTATTATCCACCTTGATCAGATTTGAACACCTTGATCAGATAATGTGTGGGTAGGTAAGATAGGTAAGGTAGTGGTATTGAATAATAATGCTAGGACCTCTTCAAAATTAAAATTGTTAACTCCATCCCCAAAGAAATAAACAGTAACGTACTCTGGCAAATTTGTATTGTCATTGCAGCTAATTGTGTAGTCATTGTGCAGTTGACCTTCGATCCAACATGGCAATGGGTTCCCAAGGTTTTGGAGTAGATCTGTAGCTCGGGTTGTGGGTGTTGAGGTTGGTTGGCTCGCCGAGCTGTTTTGTTGTTCCGCAGACGTTTCGTTACCGTGCTGGGTAACATCGTCAGTGCAGCCTCTGATGAAGCATCGGTGTGTTTTCCTGCCTGATTTCTAAACTCTGGGGTCCGTTGTGATGGATTGCCTTACTTCCGGGTTTTCTCTGTAGTGGAATATAGTAGTCAACCCCATATACATTCCACTACGGAGGAAACCTGGAAGTGAGGCAATCCATCGCAACGGACCCCAGAGTTTAAAAAACAGGCGGGAAAACACACTGACGCTTCATCAGAGGCTGCACTGAGGATGTTACCCAGCACGGTAACGAAACGTCTGCGGAACAACAAACCAGCTCGGCGAGCCAACCAACCTCAACAATGGGTTCCTAATTTGATTCCCCCTTCACATTCCCTTTTGTGATTTTGTCCTTGTGGCCTCAATGACTTCTCAGCCATCCCTCAGTTCAATTAATTCCTTCATATTAACATGTGTCAACTTTACCCCAGAGCTCATGACTTTGTAGAATCCCAACCCTTGTTGGCCCTATACCCTCCCCATGTAGAGGCTAGAATAAGCATGACTAACTTAAAATAAAAACCATTGAGAGCTCCCAGTCCTCTCTTATTCCGTATGAGGTGCCAGCCTACACTTTGCCATTGCCTCCTGTTACAGTTACCCTTCCCTTAGTGACCATATAATGAAGCCCATCCTCAGACTTGAGTTGCCTTTTTTCCCATGGGATGCCCATAGACTGTCTCACAATTATCCCCTTGACCATTATTAACCAAGACCCCATGACTGACCATGGTCCAACTCCTGGACTGTAATAAAATGACACTGTGAATGTCTGTAGTCCTTTTTCACCCTACTAAATACTCTTTCGACTTTCACATGTTGCCATTTTCTTCAAGCTCAAGCTGTGTATTTGCTGTGGAAACTGCTGGCACTGGCTGCAGCTCTGACATTGATGTAGCATCGTGCTGTACAATCATATGTCCATCCCTTTCTGACTGATACATTTACTCTTCAATACTCCCTACCATTGCAAGCTGCCTGGCTGTCCCTCTGCACTAAAAAGCAGGCTAATCTGTAGAGGTTGATACTCTGTAACTCAGCGCTCAAGATCTTGTGCACTAAAAAAGCAATGCAATCTACAAACCCGGATGCCTCCTAATGAGAATCTAAGTCAGTGAATGCTATCAAACTAAGACCCATATGGTGCTTGTCTTCATGTCAGCACAAAACCGTCCTGCTAGATCCATGAGATGCCTAGCTGACCTTAATCACAAAGTGACCTAACAAAAAATTGCATGTCCTAAATGGCCCTCAGCTCCAAAATAGAGGGATTATGCTCTGTATTGGTGGCTGTGTTAACCCAGGAGCAAACATGATGATGTGGTGAGGCTGGTGCTTTGCCAATACTGAGTTGCATGGGTGAAAGATCGAGGAGCTTAGTGACAATGGAGGAGAAGAAGTTGTGCGGAAGAAGTTGTTGCATGTAGATGGCCAGCATAGTTATTCATGATCTGCAACAGATTCTGAAGAGACAAGTCACCAGGAACCTGCTCTGCACCTCAGGCTTTTGTGCCAGCAAGTTTCTCAATGGAGGAGAATTGAATGTGAAATGTTAATATGGCAAGTTGGGACATTATGAGATGCAAACATATCGAATTAAACTAGTTGCCACTTGAAAGCTATAGTCCCTCTTATTTTTCTTCTGCACAGACCTCCAAAGTCCATGTGCAACAGCAACTTCTGAAACTGGAAGTCAACGCTGGGAATGGTATCGGCACAACAATCAGTGTAGGTGCACCCTTGGAGCAGCTGCTCTGCTTCGAGGAAACATTGCTCAAGAGTGAAATTCTGACCTTGGCATTTAAAGCTTGCGGGGAAAATTGAGTTTTGCTCAATGCTAAGAATCTGACTTTTTCAATCTTGCCCAATTCAATCACCTCACTCGCCACTATTCGCGTCAGAACAAGGAGGGGAAACTTCTGTGCATGGGTTAGTATCAAATAGTAGCCCAGATTTACTGTAAATGGAATTTGAAATGATTTTTTCTTTTCACTATATTTTTATATTTGTCGACCTTATTGCATTTCTTTACAAGATGTAATGCATTTTAAGAGGCAAGTTCTCCTGAACATTTTAAAATTTAAACTGTGATATGGTCACATTTATTATCCACCACTGATGCCTTAATGGTGGATTTGCTTTAGCTGTATAGTTCTGCATTAGGGGTCATTTTACTGCTGTCTTGCTCATCCACTATAGAGGGAAATAAGAATCAGCCATATCGTATAGGGCAACAATTTTAAAGGAAAAAGTCTTACGCACAATACGGTCTAAATTGACTTCACAAATACCCATTTACTTAACAAATATAAGCTATTAATCAGTTGTCAAGGAAATGCTCATACTGATCAGAAAGTTCTTGCACACACTGCTCTTTTTCCAGCTTAGTAATAAATTAGCATAAAGGTTGAAGTAAACATAAAATGGCCCAATAATAGTGTCTACATTTAAATACCAACAAGATCTGTATCGTCCACAGTTGATATTCCCAGTTGTTGCACGTAATTGGCATGGACTTAATCATCTGGATTTACCTATTAATTAGATTTTTGACATATAATAAGACAAGTGAATACTTTTTGGGTTTGTTATTCACAATTTTATTCAGTAGCAAGTAAGGTACGTAAATGTATTAACATCATGAAAGGCGCAGACAAGTCAACTTAAAACACAGAAACAGAAATGGTCAAGTACTTTAAAATTCATTGTGTACTCATCAACATAAAAATTCTACATTTAGAATGGTCAATAAAACCTAACAATTGACTTGCTTATTTATTTACAACAAAATCACTGTACAAAATCGAGTTCACAACATCAGAAAGTGGTACATAATAGAGTGGATTACCAGTGTCTGTATGTGAAAGTTTTGGAAGTGTTTGAACGTACAGAAATCATACTTTGTAGCACTTAGCTTGTTTGCCCTTTGCAGGGATAGATTACAGGATAATTTATTGCAACATTACACTGGTCCCATTATCATGCTGGGGCTGATCCAACGACTGGAGTTCTGTAGGTAAGTGAATAGCATAAATTAGTCTCCTGTAAAATGTTTTAGATTAGATCAGTTAAGTTTGCTACTCACATCCCTTGAATTTAATGCAGGCTTCTGACTAGAGAAGCAACTTAGTCCCTCTAAGGTTTAATGACTAGGGAAAGCTTGTGGGTTGAGGTACAAAAACATATTTTAATAAACCTATGTCTTAAAGCCCATTATACTTTGTAATAATGATTTCTGTGCATCTGCACTCGTTATTTTGTTATATTTGTAATGTTATATTTCAAGGCAGTTATGTTTCACAAAAGGTTTATTTGGTTAACATTTTATGCTAATTTAAACTGTGCGAGAAGGAATTAGGTGTAAACTACACTGACTGTGTGAAGAGGCATTTTCTTACTTGTTCTGTTGTTGGAATGCTGGTGGTAAGTATTGTAAGTAGGTTACAAATAAATAGATTATTTACGCAGTCTTTATATCGGGGCAGGAAATAAAGGAATATTCTGTGTTGCAATTATCAATGAAATGAAGCAGAAACTTTTCGGATAGTTGTTTGGATATCGTGGTGTGAATTTTTACTTGTAAGAGTGGGTGAGCAGATTTGTGGGCACACATTGAAATCTTTGTGCCCAAAGAGTATGGGTGAAGACTGATGCCTCTGCCATTTTCAGAGGGAGGTTTGGGTGTAGGCTGGGGAGTTGGAAACTTGCTGAAATCCAATGAATGGCTCATTAAACTCCTTAAGGGGCCAGTGGAAGGTCAGATAGTAATTTTGGAATAAGCTTTCCAAATGATTTGCGCACAGCTGTCAAATTCAATATGGGAAGTAGCAAGGTTTTATTTTAAAACTGGAAAAAAAAATTGCCACACGGGATTTTGCTGAGGGATTGGTTACTGTATTGTTTGCCTGACCATCTGGCCAATTTTCAGAGCATGATGCATTTGGCTCCCTGAGCTCCTGCCTTCTCTCTTGTGCAAATCAGCTGTTGAACCTGTAATGGCTCCCATGGCACCTTTGTTGGCTGCAGCTAAATAGGCTTGCCCGCTGTCCTTGGGCCCACTAACTGAGTGCAGGACTTGTTCCCCTGCCCAATTAGGCATTAACATTTGAAGCAATGTGTGGCATAGACATGGCACAGGATTGGCACATGAAAATTATTCAAGCATTGGGTTCTGACACCAATTTGAAAATCAAGCCCCATTTATGATTTTCTGTTTTATTTTCATAAACTGAAGCACAATATTAAATAACAGTCAAAACAAGAATGTGACTGTTTTGAAATGAAGACTTGTTATTGCTAATGTGTTGAACTTTATCCAGATGAACACAACGTACCATTTATTTCAAGTAAGAATAAGATGTAACACTGGCTCCACATTATTGTCTGAAAACCGAGCTCAAAAGTTTTGCCCCTCCAATATTCATCTTTTTTCCCTTTGTCATCCTACAGGCATCAGCCTCCCTCTCTAAGGCACTTTTTCCTCAGTTTGTTTTCACAGTGAGTATTCTCAGTCTATTTAACTATGGAGTGGCAATTACAAATTTGTGAGCAGTTTCGTCCAAGAGTACAGAGAAACTGTTTACATTGGAGGAAGGCTCAAGAACCTGAAGACTATAGGTGATTAGCAAAAGAAACAATGATTATATGAGGGAAAATCCTTTTACACAGTGAGTGACTACAATCTGAAAAGTCCTGTTTAGAGGATGGTTAAGGCAGATTCACTCATGATTTTAAAAAAGGAATAGGATAAGCACTTAAAGGAAGAAGTGTTGCAGGGCTGGGATTGAGGACCAATGAAATTGCCCTAGCAGTGAGCTAGTACAAAATCAATGTGTAGGATGGTCTTCTTTTGTAATGTAACCATTCTATTATTTCATGAATTACAACTGAGCTCAATTCTATCCTCATCAAATATTGAAATAGATATACTTTACATTTCTATTGGTGGGTAGAGGGGGGAAGGTGAAGTGGAAGTAATTCCTTTCTGGCCATTTGATGACATACAGAAGGGTCCACAGACATCAATGGTCATCCCTGGAGAAGGAATCATTCCTCCCATCCCCAGGGCTTGTCTATATGACCCCAACGCAGTAAAAACCTTTCTTACCCACCCCTTGAGGTTGCCTCAGCATGGAGACAATCTCTCCTCCCTGTAGCCTCCGTAATGGCCACATCCATCAGTGACTCTGGCTGATTTACTGGTCCTCTGTTTGGGCCAACAGCACATAGAGGCAGACTGCATTTGTTAATTGGATGCCAGTCTTGGTGGCAGCCTGTTAATTGGCTGCTGTTGCTAAATAATCATTATGGGCCCTTTAGACTCATACAGCCATGCAATAGGATGAAGCCCTTTGGCCTGAGTCTCTGCCAAACTATGTACACTAATCCCTCTTTTCACACTTGGTTCATAGCCTTGAATGTCATGACAGTGCTCATCTACATATTTTTAAAGGTTGTCTGCTTTCTTGCTTCTGCTACCCTCTCAGGCAGTGCATTCCAGATTCTGACCAACCTCTAAGTGAAAAGAATATTTTGTCAATTGCTCTCTAAATCTCTTGCCCTTCACCTTAAAATGATGCCCTCTCGTAACTGACCCTTCAACTAAAGGGAGCAGCTGTTTCTTATCCATCCTGCCCAAGCCCCTCATAATCTTATACACTTCAACTAGGTTGCTCTTCGCTACAACAGGAATTCCGGTTCACTGTATACATCTTCGTTGATAGCATAAATGCTGAATCCCTCCACACTTTGCTTCAGCTCTGATGAAGAGTCATCTAGATTCGAAATGTTAACTTGCTCTCTCTCCATGGATGCTGTTTGACCCACAGTGATCTCCAGCATTTGTTGTTTTCAGCACAGATTCCAGCATCTGCAGTAAATTGTTCCCCTGAGTCTTCTCTGCTCTGATGAAAACAAATTGAGCCTATTCAGCCTTTCCCCGAGCCTATTTTAGTGGCTTGGGTCCCAACAGCTGGCTTGTTGATGAAATTCCAGATGATATTTCTTTTCTCAATGGCTCAATATCGCCTGATGACCTCCTCAGCTTGTGTTAAGCTAAACATTTTGATGGCATCTACCTCCACTCTGCAGCACTGTTGGAAAGATGTCATGCAGAGGAGGACCAACGGTGTATTGCCTTCCAAATTTTACGTGCAACTAGTCACATGCAATTATATTGCCACTATTTTATAGCTCAGAATGCATTATCTGCAATCAAACAGATGCAGCAGCCCCAACTGCTTACCTATCTCAAATTCTGTTAACAATGCTATGCATAAATTTCACTTCAGACGACTGAGCTGAATAACACCACATTAAAGGAAACCCTCATTAATATTCTAAGTGAGTGTGAATACTGCCTGATAGATTTGATTTAAAGTGACAGTTCAGACACTTCATTCTTTAATTACATTTAAAAATAAATGCAAAAATATGCAATGAAATAAATTGAACAAGTTACATTGGGCAGTGTGCTCCTCCATGAATCATTTGAGTATTTATCTATTTTTTTGATGGCAACCTTTAATGTTATTACCATTAAAAATATTGGAAAGTAATGTTAAAAGTAATGGATCATGTCCAGAATATTATAGCATATTATACCAGACATAGAATGCCATTGAGAACATGAGAAAACTCCAAGAATTAAGCCTTTTGCACATGAGGAAATGTCCCAGTAGCAAACTAGCATCTTGGCATCCAATGACATTTGACAATCCTCTGTTATTATGCCTGGTAATTATTCCAAACATGAATCATCATGTTGAAAAAAAATTTGCTTCTGATAACTCTTTGATTTAATTCTCACAACTTTAATCTTATGC